CTCGTTTCAAGTTCCCCCTAGAATGTTTAAAATTGCATTTCAAATGTTTGACTTCAATGGAGATGGCGAGGTGTCACCAGAAGAATTTGAAAAGGTAAGAAACTTGGTACTGAACTGCAAAAAGCTGGAGCACCCATAGTTAGGTGAAACTGCTGCTCTCTCAAATTTTTCTTTTAGTATACCCTGGTAAAATAATCAGCTGCATCCCTGTGTTATAAGCTAGCATATTATTATTTTTTGCATCAATAAAAAGAAATTGCAGCTAAAGGCTGTGCTGTTAAAAGTCAGTTATGGCTCCTATTTATATAGATCTTTGGTGGATAATTTATCTCGTATCCACTGCCCACAACTTCATGTAAGAGGTTTAGCAGGACTCTTTATGTAAAGAATATTATTCTTTACTTAAAGAGTCCTGCAGGATTACCAGTCCAATTATGAACCAAATTAAAGGTATTTGACATGTACAGTTTGCTTTTCTAAAAGTGAAATCCTATCAAGTACTCTCTCAAACTTGTTCATACCAATCATGGAGAGAAAGAAGGAAGAAGGACGTTTTGGTGTTGTTTACTTTAATATATTTCAATAAAATTTTGCAAACTAAGCTGTGAAGTAATTTCTTTAAAAAATATTATATCATTGTAAAGCTATAGCGCAGGGGTGTGGTAAGCTTTTTGACTTGTTGTAACCTGTTCCCTGAAGGTATCTGCCTAAGGGGATACTCAGCACCGCAAATTTTCTTTTACTCAACCCTACCTTTGAACATGTACCGTTTTTTTTTATTTCCTGTTAATTGTTTGCATGTCAGCTCGTCAAATAGAATGTATCTAAATCTTAAACTACTGTTCCAAGTACCAACCATGAAAAGGGTCTTCCTTCAATGATACATGCTATTAATCATATGAAGGATAATGTGTTTATTTCCTCATTACTCTTAGGTACAGAGTATCCTGTTTAGCCTGACACAGACTGGAATGCGACATCGTGATCATTCTGTGACAGGCAGTGTACTGTCTCCACATGTTAACAGTGGCCTTAAGGAATACTTCTTTGGGAAAAACAAGGAAAAAAAGCTTACTGTGCAAAGATTTGCTGAATTTCAGAAGAATCTTCAACAGGAAGTCATGTTCCTTGAGGTACATTTTCTTTAAATGATCATTTTGATAAATGTAACCCTCAACTAGTCTGTTATTATGTAAAGAAGAATCTACTCTAGGCTTGACAGAAGTGAAATCCTGAAGCCAGATCAAGCATTGCTTGTAGGTATTAGCAAATATTACCACAAGTGACTGCTGGAAACACCTTATTTACATACATTTATAAGGTTGAAGGCCCATACCTTATCAGTGTTGTGTATACTGACTTAATTTATTTGTAGTGGCAATTGACTCACAGTGCATGTCCCTTGTAGAGTGTGTTTATTTGCTCTTTTGGCTTGAATCGCCATGCAATCATATTTTTGGCTACTTCAATTTGTATTAAAACCCTTGACTTCAGACAGGAATGTTTCAACACTACAAAATACGGCAAACACTCTCTTAGGCATTTTGGGCCACTTCTTTAGTCCAAAATTAACTGCGAGCTAAGATCAGCACCTACACTCAGTAACTTTAAAAAAGTCATCAGAAAGACAGACATTGCCTCGTTAATAGATGACTCGTGTAACGACTGTGTCCTTTGCAAGAGTTAGCATTAGTTTGCCTCACCATTTTACTCTTTTCTAGAGTTACTCAATTTACGATTCAGAGATATCATTAGGTAGTTATTTATTAGAACTAGAATTTAGAGTTTAAATTATAATTAGAATTTACATTATATTACCAGAGTTTTATAGATACAGTCTGCCCAATTAGTAAGGCACTGTGCCTGAGCTATAAGACATGAGAGTTTAATAAAGTTCATTATTATTATTATTATTGATCAGAGCATACTGTACTACACTGTGACAGGCCACTTGGCTCATAATTTGCCGTTCATCGGCTTATACTTTAAAATTAATTGCTTTTTTTTTTCTTTAAGTTTAATTCTTATGATCTAGTTGATGGACGAATAACAGAATGGGATTTTGCTGACATGCTTTTAACCTACTCAAGTTTCCATGAAAAGAAAAAACAAAAAATTCTCAGGAAAGTAAAGAAGTGTTTTAAAGAAAATTCACAGGTAGGAACAAGCAACAACATAAACAAATTGAGAACTTGATCCTCTTAGTTTAAAAATTTGTTTTGGTTTATCAAGAGTTGCTAATAAAGTGTATTCACTCATGTGGCCAGCATCTATGCTAATTAATATAAATGGAGAACTTGACTCTCTTAGTTTAAAAATTTGTTTTTGTTTATCTAAAGTTGATAATAGAGCATATTCACTCACGTGGCCAGCATCTATGCTAATTAATATGAGCAAAAGAAAGTTTTTACATGAGAAAAGAGTTCAATTCCCACTGGGTTGTCTTGGTACACCAAACGGTGACGTCATGTGAATACGCTCTAAATGATATGAAAACATATTTTTTCTTTCTCTGTGATTAAAAGGTTTAGTAACTGAAGTTAAAATACTCAGTTCTGTTGTTTTCTGTTTGGATAAATAATGGTGTAATAATGTGATCGGCCAGAATTGTTGGTTAGTCTAAGCTATACCCTGGTCTAGCCAGTAAACATATAAATGGCTAATTATTTATTTCAGTCACACCCACTAGGACAGTATTATTTTTATATTATTTTTTACAGGGAGTAACATTCAAAGATTATTTGGATTTCTTCTGTTTTATGAGGAACATTTCTGAGGCAGACATGGCTTTGAGCTTCCACAATGCTGCTGGTAAACCTATCGATCCAGGTATACGATTCCTGACAAGGAACAAGTTATTAATAAACATTTCATAATATTTTCTCTTATGTGTCTGATTTGGACATATTTTTTTGTGTGTAGCTATAAAAATTAAACCTACTTTTGTTTATTTTTTTGTTACAGACACATTTAAACAAGTTGCTAAAACAGTGATGGATGTAAATTTGAGTGATAATGTGGTGGATGTTGTTTACAAGATGTTTGATGAAAATGGTAATAAGTTTTTATTAATAATATGACTATTGCTAGTGTAATGTTTTACTTGTGTGTTGTTCCTGCTTTCAGACTGTAAAACCGAGACAACAGCTTCTGTCTTGTAAATTGTTACACTTGTTCATATTGAATGGTACTCATAGCCCAGGAGTAAATGTTTATTATAAGTAAATCTTCTCCCCTATAGTTGTCAAAGGAGTCAGTCCTTTCTCCATTTTACGTTTTTCCTCAAATGTTTTTTTGTTGGTTTAATGAGACATTGTGTCCGCGTCTCTATACTCTCCATTCTCTGTCCACACCTCCCTGAAACTGACCCCTAAAGTTACAGGTCCCTGCTGCCCAGTCTTCAGTCTTTTTCTTTGAATCTTTCCGAAAAGGGTGACCACTTAAGGTGATTTCCTAGTAAAAGAACCTAACATAGATTGTAGATGAAACTTGGTACACTGATGTAACAAGTCAAGAAGATGATAAAAAGCTAATAAAAAGTGGGGTCACTGTGCTCGTTTTGACGTCACAATGCTGACAAATACGGCTATTTTGGACCTTTTGACAAAAACCGCGCGCAGCCCAAAACTAGACAAAAAGGAAAGATTTCTTCAATGATGCATGTGGTATCGCACAGAATTGGACTTTAATGTATTGTTTATCCACTTATGTACCAGAAAAATGCCTTTTAATGCCCTTGTTTTTACTTTACGCTCCAAAGTAGAATTAAATTGGACACGCGCTATTCGACAAGTGATAGCTCAATCGGTACAATTTAGTAAAATTGCTGAAAAACTGAACATAGATTTGTGCCAATTTTTTTCTCACTGAAACGAAGCACTGTCCTTATTAAAATCATGAAATAAAAAATGGGGGTCACCGTACTCGTTTTTGCGGTAGAGCTGCAGAAAGTGCACACCAAATGCCTTTTTCTGGATTTTTGGGAGAGGACTGGGGCGAGTTACAAAATAGAATGTATGGGAAAGGGGGAAGAAAGTATTAAAAAATCCGTTTTTACAGAATTTACATCGAGATATCACATTTAGGACACAATGTGATAAACAAAGCGTTTAAATGAAAATCAAAGTGAATTTAATAACACAAATTAAACATCCACTATCGAGGTTCTCCGTGAGGAAGTCGAACTCAGCAACACGCATACTGCTTACGTTATGCACATTCTCACCACATTGAGTCTAACCTCGGCAAGAAACAACCGCAAGCAAAAATTGCAATAGCGTTTCTCTTCGGTCAACTTCATTTTAATGTTACTTCACATGCTCTTTTTTACGGAGGCCATCTTGTTATGCGCAGTAAGAGATGCGCAGTGCAAAACCAGGGAATCACCTTAAGGTGGACACTTACAACCAGTGCCATTGTGGTCCGTCAGGTACAAACTTGGACGGCTTGGGATAGGATATTTCAGATGATGGTTCAAGTCATTTTTTGTCAAACTTCTCAAAGTACTTTATTATCTGTAGAGAGTAATGTTTCCTATTTTTTCTATTTTAGATGATGGTGTTCTTAGCCATAAGGAGTTTGTTGTTGTCATGAAAAACCAACTTGTCAGAGGGCTAGAAAATGTAATTATCTTTGTTAAAGAAAATATTTTAACCTTTAAAAATTAAGATTTTTTTAAACTCATTGACTTACTCACAGTTGTGTAACCATGGCTCACAAAGATGAGTTTAAACCTTCACATGCATTTTGCAGCTTCTTAAAGTTTCCCCTTCCCTCTTTTCATATTGTCTTATTATCTTCTCATTTTTTTTGGTTTTAGTGTAGTTATAATGGGTTTGTTGGGCTACATGTCTGGGTTTGTTTGCTTTGGGTTTGGTTTGCCGTTAGATTTTTCATCCCCTGGTCCCAGATGTTCCAAAGGTGGGTAGCGCAATAATTTTTGTTTCCCTAATACTTATCCACTGGATAGTAATTTATCCGGTGGATATCGCTATCCAGCTATTGAACAACTGGGTACTGGTTAATAGGACACTCATCATTCACTTGTGACCAGGGTGTTAACTTTGAAATTTTCTTCAATTTACAGCCCAAGGACACAGGATTCAGCAGACTGATGCAGGCTATTTGGCATTGTGCAAAACATGTTACTTACACAACACTCCATCCAAAGAAATCAACAACAGCTGAAGACTGACAAGATCAGATGAACACAAATACAGCCAGTATAATAATAGCAGGAAACACAATCATCACGTCCCCATAGATTTTTCTTGGTGATTTAATAAATTATGGAATATACATTGAAAGGTCTACAATTTGATAGATCAAAAGCAGACCCTAAAGATGCAGGGGCTAGAAAGAATTCTCACATTATCTAAAAAACTGCTAGACTGTCCTTCCAGTTTCCCTTAGGTCAAGAGTCACTTTAGGCCTTGTTTGTGGCACCCCTTAAAAAACATTATCTGGTGACCCACTGTTGCTGCCTCTAAGTTATAACTATTATTCTCAAACTCATTAATAATTCATTAAGAAAATACAAAGGAAATTAATGTTTAATGAGTGTTTGGAAATCGGATGAAACACTGCTTAGTATTTGCATCCTTAATTTCTCCTTCAAAAATGATTTTGTTTGAGAAGAAATATCAAACATTCGACACAGTGTTTCATCACCAGATGAAACACCTCGAAGTTCGTCAAAAATACTCCGCTGCGCGTCGTATTTTCAACTCTCTTCTCGGTGTTTCATCTGGTGATGAAACACTGCATCTCATGTT